GGTTTTATTCTAACACCTAGTGAATCAGCTTCACATCAGCAGGTGGGCACTGCTGCTTGGTATATCATACTGCCACAGCTCCTGTTGAGTCCTGCTTTAATAGTTGATGTTGTCTTTTTTGAGAGATCTGCTCAGCTTGCAAAGGTAGCCTGCTTCACCTTGAATAATAATGTTATCGTTAAAATATGTTGCTACCAGAGCAGACAGCATTCTTTCATGACACCAGCAAAGGCACTGCTCTGTATTTTGCCTTGGCTCAGGAGTGCGAGCAAATCCGAGCTGGGTAAAGGATTTTTTGAAAATGAAAAGACAGTAGGCTTAAGCTGATTTGCGCACCCATATTGAATCTGTGATATCCAATTTTGTCTCCACAACTGCACTGGGTCCAAAAAAAAAAAAAAAAAAAAAAATGTGAAGAAAAACAAAAACATTCATGTTGAATTCAGATATACAAAACATAATTTCAAGAAAATTATTTTAAAGACAAAACTGATTGGACATTTTGGGTTTATGCATCCAAGTCCTCTTCCTCGTTACCGAAAATAGTCACTTTGCCACAACGCCTCTTTTATGCAAATTCTTCTGTTGATTCACATTGCCTTTTCACTTGCTTAACCCCAACCTGTTGCACAATTTGTTGTGTGTAGACATTTGATACATGTGAAGGGTTACAGCATGACAACTGAATGTCTGAATATGCACAATTTCTAGATTAACGCCAGGATGTTTGTGTCACTTATTACCGAACCAACCGAATGGATGTGTGCTGCTAGTATTGATCACTGTTGATCCAGTTCAACATTCAAATGACGTGAGAGTGAGACCTGATCTGCCTTTCAAATCTGTCAAAAGAAATGAAGAGTTACAGAAGATGGTTCTTCCAGGACCAGAGACGACTCACTTTAGGTGTTTATCAAGTGCCGACGTGCCTTATGAGAAACTATGCAAAAAAAAATAAAAAATAGAGAATCATTTTTGTTCCTCCCAACACGAGCAGTGCGTTCTAGTTCTGGATTAGTTATAAAGAGATTTAGCTTGAGCTAGTTTTGTGGCTTTTAAATACATAAAAAAAGAGAAAACATTTGTTGTATAAAATCTAGATGATCCTTGTGTAAATGTTGCTTAGTTTGGTTTTGTTTCGAAGCTGTGGTGTCCTGCCCGCCTGCACTTCTTTCCACAGTAGAAGAGCCCCACAACAAAATGAAAAAAAAAACCCAACTTGGTTCAAGGATTTATTGACGACAAACTGCTATTGTATGGCCATTTATATGTATGTAGTAGCTTTGGTAAACCGCATTTCTTTTGATGAGGGGGAGGAAATGAATAAAGTAATTGACGCAATAAATCAGACGTGTTGTCCGTCCCTTTCAGCAGCTGAGGATCCCTCTGATGGCGACACTCCTGTGGTGTGTAACTTTCACAAGGAACAGAGAATCATTTCTCTGAAACATGAAGTACAGAGGGAACATCATGACACATTCTCACAAATGTTCGAGACGTACTGTCCCGTCTCTACACCTCTAAAGTAACTTGACAACCATTTATTTAATAAGCAAAAAAAGTGGAGGCCAGCGTGAAAGAAAACTATCGTCCTTTTTACGACTGTCTGTCCAGCATGTAAAGTTTGCAATCGGCTTTCAGGTTGAATGTTTCACAGTTCAGATTAAATTTTTAAAGGACGGAAGTTGAAGAAGGGAACTCAAAGTCCAGTTTCCATTATATACAAGTCTTCTGTCTTTCCTTGGTGGCTGATGGTCAGGAGATCATGCTGTCGAGCCAGTCCTCCAGGTCCTCCTCTGTCACTTCCTTCCTGACGGAAGCACACTTGCGAGGTGTGACGTCTTTGTCTTTCACCTCCTCCATCTTCTCTCCTATCACCTCCAGTACCACCTCCTTCACTTCCTCACACGCTGCAGATTAAAAGAACACATCATGGGACATGCTTTTGAACTTATTTGATATTTAGTGCTTAAAATCTTCAGTGCTGAAGTTTAATATCTTAAAAAGAGCAGCAATTGTTTTATTCAATTCTGGATGATTTTGGTGTATTTAAAGCAATGTTTGACATTTTTAGCAATCTCGTTAACATATGCTAGCCTGGCTCTGTCCAACGGTAACAAAATGTGCTCAGAACTATAAAAGCTCAGTAATTAACACGTATGTACGTTTTACAAGTGTATAAAAGACTATTTCTTGGCCAGGCAGTAATTTCCTGGGTTCTCCACTGGTTACCTGCAACTGCTCAGAGCCAAGAAATAGTCCTGAAAAACAACCCGCCATAAAACAGCAAAATGTCATTCTTACACTTCAGTTTTTATACAGATTAAATAAGATATAACATGTTAATTAGTTAGTTTTGAGGGCAGAGCCAGGCTGTTTCCAGTCTTTATGCTAAGCTAAGCTAAAACAGTCTTAGCTGTAGCTTCAATTTACTGTACAGATATAACAGTGGTATCAGTCTTCTCGTCTTGTCAAACAACTCCCTATAGGTTGGGAGGAAATGATAGAGGTCATGCTGAATATACTCTACCTTTCTCTGGAACTGCACTCTCCTCGTCTGCGACACTGTCACACTGGCTTCCTGAAACACCCAAGACTGGTTTCTGTAAACTGAGCAGCTGGTCCAGCTCTTCATCGTCATCATCCACCGGCGGCTCTGCAGCGCTCGAGGAAACCTGTGAGTCTGGGACCAACGCTGGTTTTGGAGCCGCGGGGACTTTCTGGTTGGTGTTGAGGTCTTTTAAAGCAGCAGGCGGAGGAGTCAGCGTGGCTGTTTTGGATATCTCCTGTTTGGGTGCGAGGGTCATAGACGGCAGCTCCACTGGTGTCGAGACCTGAAACGGTTAGTGGATAAATGACTGCAACAGGGCACTGAGAAACATTAAAAACATTAGCTAACAGCTTTGTTTAAGTGCGGGATGTGCAGTCAAACAGCCTACCTGAACCAGCTCGGCCTCCAGGTTGAGTCTCAGGTGGAGAGGCACTTGTTGGAGGCTCTGGGCGAGCGCTGGGAGGTCCACAAACACTGCAGACATCTAGAGAGGAAACATGGAAAAAAAATGTAAAAGCGGCTGTTTGTGTTTTTTGGATTTATCATAAACTGATAAAGGTAATACTCAGAATTTAGAGAATTAAGCATTGGGAGATCTATTCTGTGTCCATGGGCATGAAAACTGTTTAAAACCTTGGCGCAACATGTTAAATCTTTTGTAATCATTGTAAGTAGCCTACTAGTGCAGGTCAGTACTATTTTGTACTTTGCACACAAGTGAAACAAAACACTGTAGCTCTGACTGTACACAAGAAGTAGAAAGGGTTCAGGAACCGTTATATAACCTGACTGTATTTGATGCACTGCTTTGTTTCCACAGACGGAGACGAGTGCTGGAAGAGTGATGATGGCAAATTAAAAAGCTATCAATTTTAAGATGATAGAGGTATTTGTGTTAAAATCAGCACACATCTTTGTATTCAGTATTATGTTCTTAACATTTGTCACATTTTTGTAGCCAATTCCATAATTTGGTCCTAAATAGGCTTTATAAATATCCGACCTTTAAAGTACAGACATATTATAGTAGACGCACCAACCGACACACATGTTGTGAGCCTTTTTTTACACCGGAACATTCAAACCAAGGGTCGCATTTTTGTGTCAGTGAATACATTTGATCTGGTTACGTAAGCGCACCAAGAGAACAATGAACATACCTCCTGTCATCATCACCTATGTGACAACAACGTGAGACTGTCGGCATGATGTCAATTCGATGGGTAGCTTTCTATCGCAGTTTGAATGAATGAAGAAAAATTCACTGGATTCACAGATTCACTTTGTTGTCATTATAATAATAACAATAATAAT